TAAATCTGTTTCACGTGAAGTTACTACTTCAAAATATCAATAAAAATTGTTTTTCATCTTTAAACAGAATTGCACGTGTTTCATGTGAAGTTTCTACTTTAAAATCTAAATTAATTTCTTTTTCTTTAAATTTAGTTACTTTAGATATGTTTTATTTGAAGTTTCTACTTTAAAATATTAATGAGAATTGTTTTTTTTTAATTTCTTTACGCAGAGTTAATTTAGTTTTCAAATAAATGTGTTTTCTAGTTTATAATATTAATAAATGAAAATATCTTTTCTTGAAACGAGGTTATTTTGTCTTTAAAATGTGTTTCATGTAAATCTTCAACTTAAAAATATTTATTAATTTTTTTCTTTAAAGTACTTTCAACGGATTTTGTCTTTCAAATAAATGAGTTTCATGGGAATATTCTACAGTACTTTAAAATATCAATTAATAAAAATTAATTGCATTTTTTTCTTTAAAAGCCTTTTTTAGTCTATTTTAAATATTAATTATTTTGTTTTAATACACTATGCTGTGCGGATCTAATACGCACGAACATACATACATACAAACATACAAATTACATTTACAACACCAAGCATTCATTGGTTAATAAATCACCACTACATTACTACAGGCAATTTACAAATTGCAGTAATGGCGACAATTTTGAAATCGCTCTATTTTTAAGTAGTCAGTTTTGTGCACTTTTGGGAGAAACGGAAAGCTTTCTTAAGTTTCCCCAAAGCTCGCTCGCTGATTGGTCGATGCCAACCAATCAGATCGTTTGCACGTGAAGAATAATTCTTCCCACGCAACGATTTGGAGCCTATAGTTGCTTATTTAAGCCAAGATATTTTTCATCTCAATTAGTGAGAATTCAACTGCCAAACGAATCCACGACAGTTGAAACCATGCGCCAACTTTCTCACTCACAGACACCACTCACATGCTGAATATAACTTGTACAAACTCACATAAACTCTTCTTACACAGCAATATCTTTCAAGAACAATCATTACAAGAGACTCTCATGAACATTTTTCCAGTGAACCTTAAACCAAATAACTATCTCACACTGAACACTAAAATGACAGTTAAAGATAGGCAACTCTTGGTTAATTCAACCTTTCTTACGTAAATGCATGTTGTTAAAATACGTATTTTATGAATAACAATGTCTTTTGGTTATCCTTTTTTGTGTGTTTCCTAAACAAAAGTTAAATTAATGTGCTGAAGTCCGCCACAATGCGGCCCAACAAAATTGTGAATTTTTGAATGTGGCCCATGCACTGAAAAGTTTGCCCGCTCCTGGTTTAATGAAATCTGTAACATGCGGCCTAATAAATGTGTGACATATGTGGTTTAATAAAATCTGTAACGCAATCTAATAACATTTATAAAATTGAATGTACAACCGCTCATCAGGATTGGAATAAATTTAGGCTGCGTGAATATATATTAAGTAAATTCTTATGATTTCTTTTGACATTTTTAAACATGTTGGTGGCCAAATAAAATCTGTGATATCTCTATCTCTAAAAGGCAGGATGTGTGTGTGTGTGTGTGTGTGTGTGTGTGTGTGTGTGTGTGTGTAACGAATACACGGCCGCAATTATCGACGGATTTGCACCAAAATTTACATGCACATGCTCCAAGTTAGCGGGAAAGGCCAACACCGACTTTGCATTTCGCAACTCCCATCGATAGTGGAAATAATCGATTTTTCATGCTTCCACGGCAGTTTTCATGTAGTTTGCGGCCATTTTCTACTGGCCAGAGTGAGAGCCAATAGCTGGCTGCCACGAATAGGCAGGAAGATTATATTGGCCAGCGTGAGAGCCAACAGCTGACTGACACGAATGTTAACTAGCATGCTAGCATAAAAAAAAATCGATAGCTGCATTCGTCACAAGTGGGAAAAATTTAAATCTGCATGGTACTTTACTCCAATTGGCTCATTCGCTTGCTTAAACTAAACGTTGATTCTGATTCCGCAGAACTGGGTTGGGTGTGAAAAAGTATTTGTTGTCAACATTCTTTTTTCATTCAGTTTTTCCAGTTACGAGTCTTTTTTTTTTAAAGCTGATCGTTTTGTGTTCATTTTGTTTAGTTTTGTTTTCGTAACAGATTTAATGTTTAGTATAGAGCTTAGAAAAAATTCGCAGTGTGAGATAGGCAAGAAGTAAGGCATGTAGTAACATCAGCACGGCAAAGGACACTCCTTTAAAGGCAAGGAAGGGCAAAAATATTTTAAGTCAAGTGATAACGATTGCTGTATGAGTTGTACGATTTTTGAATCAAGCCGGGCCATGCTGCTAGTCTAATCTAATAAATTATATAACGTGTGCCTTAATAAAATTTGTAACATTTTCTCTAATAAAATCAGTAATATACATTGTAATATAATACAGTTTGTAAGATGGGGTTTCATAAAATTTGTAACACGACCTAATAGAGACCGTAATATGTGTATTTTGATAAAATATAATCGGGCTTAAATTTATAATATTTAAATCATAAAATTATTCAATAGTTTTTATAGCGATAAAAATATCTATTCAAGCTATCGCAAAAATCTTGCTATGGTTCCTTCATAATTCGCGAGATTTTGGCTCGAAATGGAAAGAAATTCTTTGAGAAACTTCGAGATGAAGCTGTCCCTTTCTGAGAAATTTTCCGATTCACTTCGTTTCGTGGGAAAGTCCACTGAAGATGTCGGAAAATATTAAATACAAAATTCCAAACCTAGAGAGAGAGAGGGAGAAAGAAAGAAAGAAAGAAAGAAAGAAAGAAAGAAAGAAAGAAATAGGAAGAAATGATTGAGGGAGATATATAGAGAAAAGGAACTTGCTAGAAATGAAAAACAAACACTGCAAATTCCCTTGAGGCTGCTTCTTCAATGGAGGGTAAAATTGTGTAGACAAGAATAAAGCTGTTATTCATGCTTTTATTCCACATTATTATTATTATTTTTTTTTTTTTTTTTTTGTGGGGGGATACGCGATGTTCGGAATTCTCAGTTCCCCTTTGTCAAAACAAACACAATATCGGATATTAACTGTTTTTAATCATTATTCGTCTCCTAAAATTGGCGAAAGGAATATTTCCGCATGGAACGGGACAATACTTCTGCACAGTGACATTCATTATTTCTAACAAAATTCCATTTTTGTTTTCAAAAGAGCGAGAGAAAGGATATCAGATGGAGCAAATGGTTGGTTGAATGGTGTGCAATCGATAGCAAAATCAGTAGAAACGTCTCCTAAAATTAACTAGAGGAATATTTCCGCATGGAACGGAACAAGATCGAGCAATACTTTTGCACAGTGACATTCAATATTTCTAACAAAAATTCCATATTTGCTTTCAAAAGAGCGACAGGAAGGATATCAGATGGAGCAAATGGTTGGTTGAATGGTGTGCAATCGATAGCAAAATCAGTAGAAACGTCTCCTAAAATTAACTAGAGGAATATTTCCGCATGGAACGGAACAAGATCGAGCAATACATTTGCACAGTGACATTCAATATTTCTAACAAAATTCCATATTTGCTTTCAAAAGAGCGACAGGAAGGATATCAGATGGAGCAAATGGTTGGTTGAATGGTGTGCAATCGATAGCAAAATCAGTAGAAACGTCTCCTAAAATTAACTAGAGGAATATTTCCGCATGGAACGGAACAAGATCGGAGCAATACTTTTGCCCAGTGACATTCAATATTTCTAACAAAATTCCATATTTGCTTTCAAAAGAGCGACAGGAAGGATATCAGATGGAGCAAATGGTTGGTTGAATGGTGTGCAATCGATAGCAAAATCAGTAGAAACGTCTCCTAAAATTAACTAGAGGAATATTTCCGCATGGAACGGAACAAGATCGGAGCAATACATTTGCACAGTGACATTCAATATTTCTAACAAAATTCCATATTTGCTTTCAAAAGAGCGACAGGAAGGATATCAGATGGAGCAAATGGTTGGTTGAATGGTGTGCAATCGATAGCAAAATCAGTAGAAACGTCTCCTAAAATTAACTAGAGGAATATTTCCGCATGGAACGGAACAAGATCGGAGCAATACATTTGCACAGTGACATTCAATATTTCTAACAAAATTTCATATTTGCTTTCAAAAGAGCGACAGGAAGGATATCAGATGGAGCAAATGGTTGGTTGAATGGTGTGCAATCGATAGCAAAATCAGTAGAAACGTCTCCTAAAATAAACTAGTGGAATATTTCCGCATGGAACGGAACAAGATCGGAGCAATACTTTTGCCCAGTGACATTCAATATTTCTAACAAAATTCCATTTTTGTTTTCAAAAGAGCGACAGGAAGGATATCAGATGGAGCAAATGGTTGGTTGAATGGCGTGCAATCGATAGCAAAATCAGTAGAAACGTCTCCTAAAATAAACTAGAGGAATATTTCCGCATGGAACGGAACAAGATCGGAGCAATACTTTTACCCAGTGACATTCAATATTTCTAACAAAATTCCATTTTTGTTTTCAAAAGAGCGACAGGAAGGATATCAGATGGAGCAAATGGTTGGTTGAATGGCGTGCAATCGATAGCAAAATCAGTAGAAACGTCTCCTAAAATAAACTAGTAGAATATTTCCGCATGGAACGGAACAAGATCGGAGCAATACTTTTGCCCAGTGACATTCAATATTTCTAACAAAATTCCATTTTTGTTTTCAAAAGAGCGACAGGAAGGATATCAGATGGAGTAAATGGTTGGTTGAATGGCGTGCAATCGATAGCAAAATCAGTAGAAACGTCTCCTAAAATAAACTAGTGGAATATTTCCGCATGGAACGGAACAAGATCGGAGCAATACTTTTGCCCAGTGACATTCAATATTTCTAACAAAATTCCATTTTTGTTTTCAAAAGAGCGACAGGAAAGATATCAGATGGAGCAAATGGTTGGTTGAATGGTGTGCAATCGATAGCAAAATCAGTAGAAACGTCTCCTAAAATAAACTAGAGGAATATTTCCGCATGGAACGGAACAAGATCGGAGCAATATTTCTATACAGTGACATTCAGTATTTTATTTTCCTCATTGCGCTCCCCAGAAATTTCAACTGCCTCTTCCTGATGTTTCTCCAAAACCCCATATGTTCGATCCATGGTATCCTCAGCATCCTTCTGTAGAAGCACATTTTACTGATAGAGCTTACGGCCACATGACTTTGAAACACCGGTACGATCACCGATGTTAAGCAACGTCGAGCCTGGTCATTACCTAAATGGTTGACCGCTCGGGAATACCAGGTGATGTAAGCTTGGATGTGCAGGTGGTGTAATAGATAATGACTTGCAATTGCTAATCAGAAAGTCAAGTTCGAATTCCCATCGTGTTCGTTATATTCCCTTACTTGCAAATACCCTGGGGTAAGGTGCGAATCCATCTCTTCTCGTCCCTATGAGCATCGGTTAAGTATTAAGAATTCTATCACTAAAACCATTATTATTACCTTAAAATAATTTCTTACAATCTAAAAATATTTGCTGGTTTTAAATAACCTGAAAAGGGTTGATAAACCGTAATAAACGAATCAATCAAAAAAGTACGTTAGAAAGAAGGAAACAGCGAATAATCAATCTAACGAACTTGTGTAAATGGACAGCAGCACATGGATTGGAAGGGTTAGTAAAAATAAAAAGGATCAGCTTTAATAAAAAAAAAACACAAAAGATAACGCGTTCTGGAGAGTCATGGTCGCCTACGCCCACATCTTGAAGTGACGAGACACATAGAAGAAGACTGTCATATACATTTTGGTAGCCAATGGCATGAACATTAAGGTTAAGGACATTTTTTAAGGTTAACAGAACTATGTTCATCTGTAGCGCAAAAGAGGACATCTCATCTCCCATCATGTTCTATCGACAATTACTGTTAATATTCTAGCAGCTGATCTTTCCTCTGACCGAGCTTTAACAGCTCAGTGGAAGGGGGGTAACTGGCTGGTCAATTTCAATGCCTCGAAAACCAAACTGGTGACCTTCCATCATCACCGAGCGGACCCTATGTGCGTCCTATCAGGAAGGATCCGTACCTCAAATGGAACTCGTACATATGATTCATCGCTAAAGATACAGGAAAAATGGTCGGGTCTCTGTACCACTTTAATGAGTACCTCACTTCTTCTGTTACCCTCTACCCTTACATCATCATCATCGTCATCATCCTTCGACCTCCGTAAATCTGGTCGGAACTCTATTGTCAATCCCTTTCCACACGGTTCGGTCCTTCATTGCTGTCTCCAGATCCCCAATGTCCAACCCTGAGTCCAGAGCTAAGATGTCTGTGAAGGTCAATTTTCATGAGAAGACACTTCCAGAAGGAGGCCATAGGAGTAAAACGATTTCCCTGTCAGCTCAGTGGCAGTGACCAGCAACCTGTAATCGTTTTTGTTTGAGCTTAAGCGAGATTGGTCTCAGTTCTCTATAAATCGTGTTAAGCATTGCATGGGATCTCCAAATGATGTTCAGGATTTCTCTAAGTAGATTTGTATGTTCCCTCTAGTCGTCTTTCAAGAGGAACAGATTATGTCCAATTTTCTGATCCCTACAATAGAACTGGTTCAATCAATGTTCGAAAGGTTTGAACTTTTAAAAAGGATGGAAGGTTTGAATGCCAAATCTTGTGAAATTTGTTAAATTTTAATATAAGTGAGTATTGTTGGTAGTGTTTTTATATCAAAATATATTCCTTCAGAACCTGGGGTTACATGGCTCTTGGCACATACGAAAAGAATAAATAAGTTTTTTTTTCTCTTTAAATATTTCTATTTTTCCCTTTTAAATTTTCTTTGTAGAAGTCAATCAAAAATCTCAACAGGTTGTATATCACTCATTTTCTAAGCGTGTAATCGTTTTTGTTTGAGCTTAAGAGAGATTGCTTTCAGTTCTCCATAAATTGTGTTAAGCGTTGCATGGAATCTCCAAATGATGTTCGGCATTTTTCTCAATAGATTTCTATATGTTCCATCTAGACGTCTTTCAAGAGGAACAGATTATGTCCAAGTTTCTGATCCATACAGTAGGACTGATTCAATCGATGTTCGAAACGTTTTGGACTTTTAAAGAGGATGGAAGGTTGTGAGTGCCAAATCTTGTGAAGTTTGTTTACGGATGTTGCATGAGATTTCCAAATTATATTCAGGATTTTTCTAAGTAGATTTGTATTTCTTTTTTTAATACAATTCACCCCAGGCGAGGCGGGAGTGTCACTAGCACGCAAGGGGTTACAGAGTAAAGAGGCGTGTTTGGGGAAATGAAACAGAGGCGGGGGAAAAAGATCAAGGTATCAAATGTCGATTGACATTACACTTGCATATTTGAAGATTATAGTTATCTGTGAAGCAAACAAGGGGAAGGGAGGTCTACAGACGGGAAGTGCAAGAGAAGCTGTTTGAGTAGAAGAGACGGTTACCCTTAACCGTTTCGACAGTGAAAGGGTGGGACCGAGATGCCAGCTTTGTAGCTCGCTTAAATTCGTGCAGTCTGGGAACCAGCGAAAGTCGCTCGTCGGAACAGTTTCCGTAAAGAAGAGACAGTGGGAAGCCATGGCATTGTCTGTGAGAAAGCGACTGTAAACTAGATTCCAGATCAGGACCTATCACATTGCATATTCGGCTCTGGATTTTGTTGAGGACCTCGAGACATACAGTGAGGGCACAAGGCCTTATATGACAACAATATTCCATGCAAGGACGGAGGTTGATTTATAGATTCGAAGGATGGGCTTAGACAAGAAAAACCTTCTGACACGACATAGAATGCCAACTTTTTTTTGCGATAGATGAAGCTATTGATTCATCCAGTCAGTCGTTTTTAAAAACGAGCAGATAATGTCCAAGGTTCTGATCTACACAGTAGGACTGGTTCACCCTTTACAAGATCCAGATCAGGCCGGAAATGGAGTACTGCTCGCGTATATGGACATGAGCTGCACAGGCTTCACTTTCCAGAGTTGATAGAGTCCGAAATCGTCTCCTTGTCCTTGTGGAGATTAATTATTTTCCATTTAACAACCAGACAAAACGTGGCAAACCACTCGCTGCTCTATTTTTATTTCCATGGAGAGTCTTCAGATGAGCTACAATTCTAAGTTCCACTAGTTCTAGCCTTAATGTCTAAGACGCGCCATGCGACGCACATTGTAGCAAACCGCCCTCACTCTTTTTCTATTCCTTTTGTAATTCCATTTGAGCATCTTCTCTTTTCCTTTCTTTTCTTGCTCTTTCTCTCTTTTTACTACCTTACGTCTACCGTGTATCTCCCACGCTTTCTTCTTTTATCGTATCTCTATCTCTCTTTCATTCTTCTACATTCTCTCTATTTCTTCAACCTTCTCTCTTTTACTTTCTTCTTTCTTTATTCTCACGACCATTTCTCTTTTTCTGACGTCTTTCTCTCTCACTTCCTTTCGTCTACCGTCTATCTCTCACACTTTCTTCTTCTTTTTATTTATATATATATATATATATATATATATATATATCTTCCTTTCTTCTATATTCTATCTATTTGTTCTACCTTCTCTTTCTCTCTTTTACTTTCTTCTTTCTTTATTCTCACGACCATTTCTCTTTTTCTGTCGTCTTTCTCTCTCACTTCCTTTCGTCTACCGTCTATCTCTCACACTTTCTTCTTTTATCGTATATATATATATATATATATATATATATATATATATATATATCTTCCTTTCTTCTATATTATCTATTTATTTCTTCTTTCTTTTTTTATTCTCACGACCATCACTTCCTTATATATATATATATATATATATATATTTATATATATATATCTTCTTCTATATTCTATCTATTTTTTACTTTTTCTTTTCTTTCTTTATTCTCACGACCATTTCTCTTTTTTCTGTCGTCTTTCTCTCTCACTTCCTTTCGTCTACCGTCTATCTCTCACACTTTCTTCTTTTATCGTATCTCTCTCTCTCTCTCTCTCTCTCTCTCTCTTCCTTTCTTCTATATTCTATCTATTTGTTCTACCTTCTTTTTCTCTCTTTTACTTTCTTTTCTTGTTCTTTCTTTATTCTCAGGTCCATTTCTCTTTGTCTGCCGTCTTTCACCTCCCATTTCCTTTCGTCTACCGTCTATCTCTCACACCTCCTTCTTTTATCTTATCTCTCTCTCTTTTTCTTCCATTCTTCCACCTTCCCTCTATTTCTTATGCCTTCTCTCTCTCTCTCTCTCTCTCTCTCTCTCTTTCCTTTACTTTCTTTTCTTGTTCTTTTTCTATTATTCCGCACTTTTCTCTTTTCCCGTAGTCTTTCTCCCCTACTTCCTTTCAACTACCGTCTATCTCTCACACTTTCTTCTTTTAACGTATCTCTCTTTTCCATTCTCCTACCTTCTCTCTATTTCTTCTACCTTTTCTCTCTCTCTCTCTCTTTCTCTCTCTCTCTATTTTCTTTTCTTGTTTTTTTTCTTTATTCTCACTTCCGTTTCTCTTTTTCTGTCGTCATTCCCTCCCACTTCCTTTCTTCTAACGTCCCCCCTCCTTTCTATTCTTCTACATTCTGTCCCTCATTCTTTCCCTTACCATCTCTCTCCAACTATTCCTCTTCTGCCCTGACTTTATCATAGAAATTCAAGATTAGTATTAGGTCGGTGCAAAAATAATGTCGTTTCAACTTCAAAAGAGAAAACGACATTATTTTTGCACCAACCTAATATTTAAAAAATACGAATCACTTCATGTACCTCGATGGATGTTTTAGTTATAACAAATTTTGTGTAAGAGAGAAGGAACATTATTTACATTATTCGAACTATTGTCCTCATCTTTGTCGCCATATTTATTACAACGTTTCGGCCGTTGTACGCTCCGGCCTTCTTCAGGTGGTTGGAATGTCGAACTGAACCCTTTATTTCGCTCACTGGGGTAGACTATTCTAGTTCTACGTGCCATGTTTAATGGATGTCAGTTATCAGTTATCTCCTGTTACAGAGAGAATGAAATTGGATATTGAATAAGCTGCATTAGATATAGTTTCAAACAACACTACCAGTTGTTACAAAACCAAAACATTAACCTGAAAATAGCCACGTCAGTTCAAGACTTTCCATTATCAAGGACAGCCAGTTTGCCTTGCTATACCCACACCTGAGGATGTTGGGGAAAAGACCTACATGCATAACGTTGCACGTAAGTAAATATAAGGAACTCGACTGGAATTCGAACTCGGCTATCCGATTCCTCAATCCGTTTCTTTGTTTTTTAAAGGCATATCGACAATTTATGGGCCATTTAACGCTGTAATTTTAATTTTCTTGGAAGTTGGACTAATTCTTGCATTTTACGAGAATCTAATACTAGTATCTTTTTTTGTTTTAAATTTAAATTTATACTTTCAGTTTTTTTTTTTTACCTCGGTTCGGGGGTTCACCAACAGGTGCTACCGCGCTACCACCCCAGTTAGGTGGTTCCAATACATTAACCTGAAAATAGCCTCGTCAGTTTTAAATTTTCTGATCGGTATCATGTATGGCGCCAAATTGGGCATCTCGCCGTGGTGTAATGGTTAGCAAGCTTGTCTCGCTAGATCAGTTCGCTTCTCACTAGGTGCACTATAATTTCGGCCTTGTGCCACGCTTAGAAAATAATCGTGCATGGCGCCAAACCCGTTCAGAATTATGAAAAATGTCCGCTGCATACAACTATCAGTCAGTTATGTGCCATGCATGATACACGCTGAGGCGCTTATGTATCTTCCGATACATGACTGACGAGGCAGGTTTTTTTCCTGTAGTAGGTTGCCATTTCTTTCTGCAGTAAACTAGTTGCCATCATAGACTATAGAACCCGGTCTTGCTATTTACCCATAGCTGGAAGAAAATTCATACCTTTCACAAGGATATTAGCACGTAAGTGAATGTAATGGATTTGACTGAAATTCGAACTCGGCTCTCCGATTCCCCACTCCGAGGCGCTATCCATTATTCCTCCTATATACAACTATATTAATAGTTAAGAATGGATCCTGGCAAAGACCTTACTTTTTTCGAACCTTGTGAACTGGCGCTACCGAAGCACAAACAACTGTAGCAGATAACAGAACCTGCATCACTTCAGGACTTTCAACAGCAGCAACAGTTAAAATGGATAGCATATGTAATTCGAAGAAAAAATAATAACCTTATGAAGATACTGACGTTCCACAAGACTACGAATAAAATATTAAGAAGGAAGGTTTGGTTTGGTTTGGTTTGTTTTATGGCATATCAATCTCAATGGGTTATTTAATGCCGACAAGATTTTATTGCTGGTAATTCCCCCCCAAATGTATTAAAAACTGTTTTTACACTTTCATAGTGCTTTGACCCCAGTTTGCGGGTTAACTATTTGCCCATAGCTAGGACCCTAACAGATGCTACTGCCCCGGGTCAGGGTAGAACTGGGAACACCATCAACTAAGATGTGGTTCAACGCTCCTCAAAACCTCCGGATCAGAGGCTTTGCTGCTGGATGCAGTTTATCGTCATACCCAGGACAGTGTTTAGGAAAGAAACCCTTGTTAATACTAGGAAGAACGACAGCAGTTACTGGATTTAGAAACCTATTTTCCTGAAAAATTATTTTAAGAGAAAGATTTTATAAATCTTAACCGACAGCAATACTGAAGGCTCGAGTAATGAATGCCGAATGTTTCTTTATAAGGAAACGGTTAATATTGCCATTACGAGGAGAAAATAATGGAATAATAAAGATGTTGACGTTCCACATAAGTTTAAACCAAAAGTTAGGAAGGAAAACTTTACCGCTACTTCCACTGAAAGTGCTCGGACGAACTACATTTCCTAGTTGGGTCGAGGGTAACCTTCACGACAAGAACACGCCATGCCACTTACATTGTATCAAACCACCCACATTCTCCCCGTATTCCATCGGCGGGAAGTAAGTACCACACGAACAGCTTCTTCCTGCGAACCGCTGCCCTCTGGAATCGACTCCCAAGTTGATATTTCCCCGATCCCTATAATCTTAACCCTTTTAAGTCTCGGGTTAACCATTATTCTTCCTTCCTGTGCGTATGAACTCCCTTCTAACGTAATCCTCTACCTTGAGTGGCTTCCGGGTCTTGTACAATATGAACCTTAAAAAAACTCTACGATCTAATTAGTTTTCTTATTGACATGTTAATCTACAAAGGTTAGAAAGCCCTGTCTGTTCTATTTCTTTTTTTAATCCTTTCGAAACATAATTGATCATTACTCTCCACAACTTCCACAGAAAAATTCGGGGATTATCGCTTTTCCCTTGATTTTCAATACAAGGTTTGCTATCGTTATGGTGGAACAAACCTATTCTATAGTTAGACTCTCCCACCTATAATAAGTAGGAGTAGTAAGAGTAACGAGTCAGTCGCTCAAGTCTTGAACGACAGATCGGTTGAACTCTCTGCCTTCGGGCGGGGAGGAACCCGAACGAGGCTACGCCAAGGGGCGGAGTCTCGTTCAGGGAGGTAAACCGGCCATGAGCCCGTTTATACGGGTTCAATTGGCATATTTTTGGGCCGGACCCACGGGCTCGGAGAACCCACAATAAATAACCGACCTTGTGTCACATGCTGCCCAGTTGTGGGGGGAGTGACTGAATATCGTCAGTCGGTCAGTCAGTCTGTCGATGTCGGACGACCGTTAGTCGGATACTAAAGTATCAGCGACCGCAACTAGATTTACTCTGCGTCATTAACTATTATATCAAGTTCATAAAGTTTTGTACGTTGAACCTATTTTAGGACCGACTTAGTACAAATACAAGTCTCCACTGCGAAATCACTCCACAACAGCTATGCAAGTCTATAGTAAAAGTATCTACAATGCATATTTATAAAAATTTATTAACAGCACATTTTGATCTCTACTTTATCACTATATACATAATCATTAGAGGGAATAAACATTGATATATTTCTTGAATCATTGTAATCATTGTAGTAAACCACCCACATTCCATCCATATTCCATTGGTGAGAAGTCTGCCATGTGGAACCGCCACCCAACAGGGTGTTTCCCTGATCACTACAATCTTAACCTGTTCAAGGCTTGGGTTAATAGTTACCTTCCACTCCTATACACACAAATGGCCTCCAAACGTAACCCTCTACCTTGAGTGGCACTCGAGTCTTGTAGATATTTACTTGACCCCCTACTGAGTCAGATTGTGACATAAGGTCAGGTTTTAACATGGGGACCCGAGTGTTTTCACTCGGGCCGCTGGTCCAAGCTGGTCTTAGTTGGTCATAGTTTGTCCAAGCTGGTCAGAGCTGGTCTTAGCTAGTCATAGCTGGTCCAGAGCTGGTCCTGGTCTAAGCTAGTCAGTCATAGCTTGTCCAAGCTGGTCCAAGCTAGTCATAGCTGGTCGTGATAGCTAGTCATAGCTGGTCACGGTCCAAGCTAGTCAGCAACAGGGCAGGAAGCCGAAGCACAAGTGTCAGGGAAGTATCATGTAAATAATGAACTTTACTGTGTTAAAAAAAAAATATCATTATTAGAAAGAACGATAACAGTTACGGGACTTGAGAAACCTACTTGAAAAAGTTTTGAAAGAAAGATTTTATAAATTTTAATCGAAATCAGTATACTGGCTGCACGGCCAGTGGATGCCAATTTCTTTTTCCTTATAAGGAAACGGTTAATATTAACAATACCATTACCACTTTGGATATTACCAATACCATTCTATCATCTCTTTCCTTCTTATGCCAATTCCGTTTGTCACGTTCTCCTACTCTCTATCTATCTCTTATTTTTGTAACATCTCTCTCTCTCTCACTCCTCTGTTTTTTCTTCTACCGTCTCTCTCGCTCTAATTCTTCTATCTTATCTCACTCTTTCTTTCATGTATTGTTTCTCTCCCTATCTCACTATCCTTCTTTTACTGTATCTCCCTTTTTTTCTGTACTCTCTCTCTCTCTCATTCTCTCTATATTTTCTACTGTCTTTCTCTCCTTCTTTTTCTTTTCTGTCTTTTTTCTTTCTTCTACGCTCTCTCTCTCACTCTTTCGCATACAGCCTCTATATCTCTTTCGCATACCGTTTCTCTATTTCTACAATCTTCTCTCTCCTTTTTTTTCCGTCTACCGGCTTCTTTTTTTTTTTTTTTTTTTACTTTATTCCCCTTTCTCTCTCTCCCTTACCGCCTTTCCCCCTCTTTCTAGTACCTTCCATTCCATTTATTCATTCCATTTATTCATTCTTTTCTTTTTTTTCTGCTGTCGTCTCTCCTCCTACCGTCTCTTTCTTCCTTCTACCGACTTCTTTTTCTTTTCCTTTTACTCTCCCCTCTCTCTCTCTCTCTCTCTCTTACCGTCTCTTTCCCTTTTCTATTACCTTCCATTCCATTTATTCAATCTTCTTTTCGTTTTTTTTCTGCTATCGTCTCTCCTCCAACCGTCTCTTTCTTCTACCGTCTCTTAATTTCTCTTTCCTTTTTTTTGTCTCTCTCTCTCTCTCTCTCTCTCTCTCTGTTACCACCCCTCTATTTCTTTCTACAACCGTATCCTTTTCCTTCATTCATTCTCTCTTTCTTTTCTTTTGTCGTCTCTCCTTCTACGTCCCACTCTTTCTTCCTACGTCCCACT